TAATACATTGGCAGAGCTCTCTGTCTCCCTTTATTCAACCCTCAGCAAAAATGTCTCCTTACCTCCAAGCACCCTGTCTGAAACATGCCCTTTCTCTCTGTCTGCTTACTTTATTTTTTTCATTGCACTTATTCAATACATGATATAATTTGCTGGCCTCCACCACTAGCACAGAAGCTCTACCAGGGGAGGAACTTGGCTCATTTTGTTCACTGCTGTCGTCAACCCCAAATAAGTGATGGAGGCAGAGATCTCAGTCAATGGAGGTTTATTAAGCCAAAGTCGAGGATGTGGCTGGGAAACGTACACATCACAGACAAATCTGTGTCTGTTTTTCCAAAGGGGAGTTTGGAAGTTTCGGTATTTAAAGGGGAGTAGGGCATGCAGAAAGGAAAAGGAAAACGTGGGGGATGGGAGTAGTGAGACAAAATGGTTACATTCTTGTGAGACTCAGGAAAATATACACATTACATCAGACAAGGTGAGTGTTAGGAGAGGAAAAAGGGAGCAAAGGAAGCATCAGTTATGTACATGTCCCTGGGTGGGTGGAAGAATGTTTGATCCTGTCTTGTCTCTGTTTTACACCTGTGAAGATAAACTTGAAATTCATTATTAGGGTAAATTTGACCGGCTTTTGTTTTTGGGGGTTGGCGTTGGCTTATGGTCTTAAGTTTAAATTTTTTTTTTCTTTGTTTTTTGGGAGGCCTTTAAAATTCCTTCAAATTTTCTTTATTGTTTTGGGGGCCGGCCTTTCCCGGTTGCTTGGGTTTTTTCCTTTTCTTTTTGCTTAGGAGTTGGTGGGGGGGAGGGGGGATCCTGAGATTTTTATTTTCTTTTACACTGTATTCCACATTCTCAGGAACATGGCTTAGCACCTTATAGATGTTTTGGGGTTTTGTTTTTGTTTTAACCTACCAAGTCTAGCAAGAAGTGCCTTATTTAATTTATTGAATATTTAATTTATTGAACGATTGACAGTAAATACACTAATGAAAATTGTGCATCTTAAAGAGATAACACAGCATGCAGCTTTCTCAAAGCTGTTTGAGGAGCACTGGGTCTTTTGACAGAAACACCTATTAATATTTCACAGGACGTGGGCATTTCAGAGCAATTTGGGAAACACTGTCTTAATTATTCATTATTTGGTAAGATCAGATTCAGCCTTTTCCTTCCCATATTTTTATCTTTTAATTCAAGCCCCTGTGTCCTCCCATCCACCCCTTTCCTTTAATACAACCGAAAGTCACGCGGCGGATATTATCAGTTGCATCTGTGCTGACCAGCCAGCCTCTCCCTGTGACGACAGAGCTCACCAGGCCTGTCGCACACGCTGGAAAATCTCTGGCAGAAATAACTTCAAGCCCAAAGGAGGACTCACAGTCAGATGTCTTCACTTCCATACGAGCATCATTTCAGAATGCATCTGACCAGGTAAACATGGAAAACTGAAGTCGCCACTGAGTAGCTCCATGACACTGAAAAAGCACTTTTATTCTTGGCTTCTATTACGGTGATATTTCAAAAATGATGGCGATAACAATGAGCCTGGTTTATACTTGCACCTCCTGGCAGAACTATACCGAGGAATGCCTGACGGACCGGCATATGTCCCAGTTAAAAGCTAAACCAAAAGAAGGTCATGGAAATATTCTACAATGGGTTATATGCCCATGTCAATATTGAATGACTTGCTATTTAATGCCATTATACGCCATGCTTCAGACAGGGAAGGAGCTTTGCTCACCTGCCCCACTTTTTGAGCAGCAGCGAACCCTTCTGTCCAACTCCTCCTCCTCGTCTGTGTTTTCCTTTCACCTCGTTTCCTTTCTCCCACACACGGAAAAAAAAAAAAGCCAAAGCCATTTTGACAGTGTCCACTAAAGAAAATTATCCTGCTTCCCCCGCCCTTTGTTTTTTTTATTAACACAAACACTGTCTATATGCAATCTAACATTTCCCTGCTAAAACAGATTCCTGTTTACTCTGGATCAGTTGGCAGTGCTTATGGAAATTAGATGGTCAACATGGGCTCAGCAGTTTACTGGGGAAAACCTGACCCATGGTAGTTTAAACAAAGGTGTTTTTCCCTTAAAGAGAAATCTGAAATGTAGAATATCCAAGAGTCTACAGAAAAATGATTAGAAATACTAAGAGAATTTAGCAATGTTGCTGAATACTAGATCAGTATACTAAAGCTAATTGTATTTTTACAAATCGGTGACCATCAATCAGAAAATTAGATTTTAAAAAAAGATAATCATAGCAAGTGCCTAGGACTAAATTTAACCAAAAATGTGCAAGATTTCTCTGGAGACAGAACTATATAATTTTATTAAGATACATTTTTAAAAGACTAGATAAATGGCGGGATATACCATGATTCAGCCCAGGTTACAAGTTCTGTTCTAATGTGTCAAATAAGGCCCCCTTAGTGACCCTCCTGGGTATAGCTACAATGGCTTCAAGACCTGGCCGCTACTGGCAAATGTGTAGTTGGGTGGCAACTATATATCTCACCAATATCTTCATGCCTGCTTATGTACACCTCAGTCCCAAAGTATAAAACCAAAATTGAGTGCCCCTCAATTCTAAGATCACGTTATAAATGACCTAACCTCTTACAAACTCTTTGAATTGGGAATCACCCTATCCGACAGCGTGGTTCCCAAGGGCAGGGATCACGACTGACTTTCACTGCTCTAGCACCTAGCAGTACACACTAGGCATCTAATAAAGGTTTTTCGAATATGTGATTGAATTAAGCTATAACTGGGCTGTTCTCTAGAAACGGACCGAGTAGTTGGCGTCCACAGATCCTCTTGGGGTTGGACGTCCAGTTCAAAAGCAGCAGCCTCGGCCGGGCGCAGTGGCTCACGCCTGTAATCCTAGCTCTCTGGGAGGCCGAGGCGGGCAGATTGAGCTCGGGAGTTCGAAACCAGCCTGAGCAAGAGCGAGACCCCATCTCTACTAAAATTAGAAAGAAATTAATTGGACAACTAAAAAAACATATAGAAAAAATTAGCCGGGCATGGTGGTGCATGCCTGTAGTCCCAGCTACT